TCCAGGGGAGAAAGGGGTGTGTCCTGGGAAAGGGGCGGGGCTTGGGAAGGGAGAAAGATTGGGGAGAAAGGGGCAGAGCTTGAGGAAATGGGCAGGGTTTGGGGAAGGAGGGAGTGGTATGGCAGAAAGGTGTGGGTTGGGGGAAGTAGATGGGATCACACTGACCCCCCAAGTACTGCCCACAGCCCCCCGGCCCCGCCCATTGTCCCCGAGGTTCCGGAGCTTCCAGAGGTGGTTGAAGCTGCTCCCGATCTTCGGAGGTAAATTGGGATTGGGATCTGTGGGGTGGGATTGGGATCTATGGATCAGGGAGAATTTTGGGAAAATTGGACAAAAATGGGGAAATTTGGGGAGTTGGGGGAAAATTTGGGGGTCATGATCTGTGGCATCTGGACTATCCACAGCCTGATCCTGGAGCACGCTCGGCGCCCGGGGGGATCGGAGCTGACGGCCATCCTGCCCCCGGGGTCATCCCGCGCACGCATGGCGCGGCTCTTTGCCATCTGCCTCGGTGAGTCCTGGGGACACGCTCCCTTTTACCAAACCACGCCTCTTTCCCCACAAACCCCACCCCTTTCCCCACCAGGCTCCTTCTCCAAGCCCCGCCCTTTCCACAAAAGCCCATCCCCTGGCTCTGAGCACCTTTTGCCTTAAGCCCAGCCCCTTCCCTCCCTGCTCCCCTTCCAGGCCCGCTCCTTTTCCCTAAGCCCCACCCCTTTCCCAAGCCACACCCCCTTTCCCAGCCATGCCCCTTTCCCTAACCCATCTCCCCAAGCTCTGCCCCCTTCCCACAAGCCATGCCCTCTGTGTCCCAAACTCCTCCCTTTCCTGAGGGCCCTCCCCTCCCCCACAGCTCCAGCCCCACCTCCTTCCCACAAACCACACAAATTGGCCCCACCCCTCTCCTGAAGCCCTGCCCCCTAACCCCAAGCCCCGCCCCCTCAGAGCTCTGCGGTGCCCATTGGGTGCGCCTGGACCAGCCTCAGCCCTATGGACCAATCACTGTCTTGCTCCGCCCCCGCCCAGAATAAACCCCACCTTTTTCTGGCCTTTCTTGGGCATTTATTGGCTGTTGGTGATGTCACTCTGGAGAGGGGGTGGGGTCTCCCCCAGGTGTGTGTGGGGGGCTCAGCCTGGCCACGCCTACCTGGAGGTCACAGGGGTTGATTCCACCCACTGAGTAGAGCAGGGAGGGGCTCGACAGTGATGGGGTCAGGCAGGGCCCCCTTTACCTGGGGGGCATCAGAGAATGCACCTGGATACAGCTGGGACATGCACACTGCCCTGGGGCATCATGGGGGTGTCGGCATCACTTGCACACGTGGACACACCTGGAGGGGCGTTGGGAACACCTGGGACACATCTGGATGTCCCTTGGGAGTCACCTGGACACTCCTGGGGTAATCTGGGGGAGAGGTGAGGGGGTCTGGGGGGATGATGCTGCGGTCACCTGGACACACCTGGGGGGGCTTGGGGGGTCCCTCCCCACCTGCTTGGGCAGCACCTGCAGCCTGTCACGGGTGAGGGGCAGCACCTGGGACCAGTATAGACCAGTATGGAGCCATGGCTGCCCCGTAATGGCCTGCAAGTGCCCCATAGAGGGCTCTGAGTTCCATCCATCTGCCCCAGTACACACCAGTATAAACCAGTATGGACACCCCGTTACCAGCACAGGTTTAACAGCACAGCAGGTGCAAAGGGAAGGCAAACAACACATTTTGGTGGAGTTGGGGCTTTCCGAGTGGTCTGGGGTGAGAGCGGAGGATCTACGGGGCAGTTGGGAGAACCTCAGGAGTTTTGGGGAGTCTTGCGTAGGTTTAAGGAGGATTTTGGGTTGGTTTGGGGGGGTTAACTTGGCAGCTCTTGGGCAGTGCGGCTGCCAGAGGTCACTCCGGACTGTGGGATAGGCAAAAACTGCCCGGCAAAGGAGAAGCTGGATTTGGGAGATGGAGCATTTGAGGGCATGAGATGACTTGTGCCAGTGCGCTGAGTGCGCACGCGCAGTGACTTCAGTGGCTCTCCAGTGCCGCCTGCTGGTCAAAGAGCGGTTCTGCCGCTGTAAAACCTGAGCTGGTCAGGGGAGGTTTAGGGATCCAACCTGAGTTCTGTACTCAGAACATGAAGGACCAAGAAAAGAACATGAAGGACCAAGAAAAGAACATGAAGGACCAAGAAAAGAACATGAAGGACCAAGAAAAATGGAAGCCGCCGCTCTTCTTCCTCACTCTTGCCCCGCCGTCCCACTCCAGGGCTCTACTCTCTTCTCGGACGGCTCCTGCCAAGGCAGCGGGATGCAGCTCGGACTGAGAAGCTCCAAGTCCTTACACCAAAGGAAACCAGGACCCAGAGGGAGCTGCCCTAGCCACCACCTGCCCACCCACCCACAGGCCCCCCACTTGCACAAAACTCTCCAAAGGTCACTTGGACTCACCACAGCGACACATGGTGCAGTCCCAT